CAGCGGTAATATCGGCGAAGAATCCGATGTCTCGAAAGCGATAGATGTCTGTCGGGAACGGTTCGGCCGATTGGATAACGTTATCAATTGCACCGGTATTTTGCCATTCAATGCACTTTATATTTGATACTCATTCGCGTGTTTTATTCACGAGGAATAGGCGCCGACACCATCGCTGTTGAAGAATCGGATCCATTGCAAGAGTTTCGGCGTGTCTTCGACGCCAACATTAGCGGACCCTTTAATGTGATTCGTTTGGCGGCGCCATTGATGGCAGATAATCGGCCCATCAATGGCTGTCGAGGCGTTATCATCAATATCTCAATGGTTCCGGGCATTGATTCCCAACGAAGTGTCGCCTATTCCTCCACTTCTGGCGCCATCGCCAGTATGACTCTGCCATTGGCTCGCGATTTGGCCAATCAGTGCGTCCGATGCGTTACCATTGAGGTCTGCCAGGCGTCGGATAATCACCCATTGGATCAAAGTTTAGGTAAAATCACGCTTTGAATGATTGATACAAATCTCGTGACTAAAGATCATTAAAACCCTCAGCTTTGGATCAAAGTATCGGACATTTGGTGCAAAGAGTGATCGAGAATCCAATGATGAACGGGGAGGTGATTAAAGTGGACGGCGGCTTAAGACACGCCATTCCTCCTAAGCTATAATCACTTAAAACATCACTTATTTTATTCAATAAAAGTTTTTTCATTTGTTTCTAAAATAAAAGCCGTAATTATTGAATGAACGCATACTTATAATAGACTCTATGCGACAAATCGGGCCCTTTTATCGCAACACTCACTGCACTACTGAATGGCAATCATATACTGACAAAAGGGCCCAAACAGTGGAGACCTGTTTTGGTTGCCATTGAATTGTTAGCAAAACAAAAGCCAAAACACAACACAAGACAACACTCTTTGTCCACCAAATTGACCGCCGATTACGGGTTTTTGGCCACCGATTCACAGACACAGCGACCACTCGATCATGTGGTATGAGATTATACCGTCGGCGGCGGCCTTAATGGTCTGCTTGGGTCTCATGGAGATCGGGCCTATGGTTAGTACAGTATAGCAAACCTATTGACCACTTGATCCCATCGGTGATGATCTCTTCGCCCAACAGGTGG